GATCCTGTTTTTGATATTTTCAAGTATACTATAACACCATTGAAAATATTTTTCCAAATAAAAACTTTAGTAAAAGTCATAGCAACAAAACAGCATGGGAGTTCAAGAAGTTTTGTAGCCATTGTGCACTGGATGGAAATGAAAAAGTCTTGTGGAAATAGATAATGTACAACATATAGGTTGTGTTTAAGGGCATACCATGCAACAAAATAATCAAACATTATATCAAAAGGTGGATAAGAAAAAGAGGTGAAAGATAGATTGGGCAGGAAGTGTTGAAAGATTAAACATGTAATTATGTTAATAGAGGAGACTCCTGGTACTCCTAAAGAATCATTAGATTAGGCACTGTAATTGTTTCATCTAATTGAAGTGGCTATAGTGTCTGTATTTCCATTCAGTGTTAAACAGTTTTCAATGTTTTAAATGAGAGTCTCCAGCAACCCATCACCTATGTGCTGCTTGTGCTAAGGAGGAAGCATTAGCCTAAACAGAAAAGGGTGGCTGTGATTGGCTGAGAGTGTCAGCTGAATTCTTTCAGCCTATCACAGCTTTCATTGTTGGTGTGAATTGGTATAGCTAGAAGGAAGTGTGTAACTTCTGCCTAAGCCAAACCTCCAGTGGAGGCGGGGCTTGGGTGGTCTGGGGCCCTCATTTAGAGTTTTTAAGTGTTAAAGGAAACCTACAGTGTCAGGAATACAAAAGTGTATTTCTGACACTAAAATGTTAAAAGCGCAGTTCAGGTGGCTGGACCTCCCTTACCCCAATTAAAACATTAAATAATTCACCTTAGTTGCAGTGCTGTGTGGGTCTGCCACAGCTGGCTCCATCCCTTTGGCTGAGATAATCGAAATGGATGACCTTAGCCAATCCAGTGCTTCCCCATAGAAAAACATTTAGAGGCTATTGTGCATGCGGCAAAACACCATTCTGCACAAATCAACATCTCCTCATAGAGAGGTATTGAATAATGCATCTCTGTGATTAATGTTCAGTGTCTCCTTGCAGAAAAGAAGCACCTCTAGTGACCATCTGAGTGAATGCCACTAGAGGTGTTCCTAGGCAGTTATCTAAACAGTTTTTCTCTTAAAAGACATTGTTTACATTAAAAAGCCTGCAGGCTTTTACGCTACATGATGCTGTAGTTGTTCTGGTGACTATAGTGTCCCTTTAATACTGAATGGGCTCCAGGCACCATAACCACTTCAATAAGAGGAAATAGTTATAGCGAATACAGTGTCTCTTTAACTGGGAGAGTGTAAGAACATGCCATGGTACCAAGTCACTGGTATAGACATAATAAGATGTAAACTGGAAGAAAAAGAAAGCTAGAAGTAACAAACTTGTTTAATATATAGAGTTAAGTTATATAAAAATAATTATTTATATTTTACATCAATACGTATTGCTTTTATCGTCAAAAGTAAAAATCTCATATGTAAAAGTAAACAATAATAATTATTTATAGTAAGTACTTTACTTTTTTTTTTTGTTTGTTTATATCTTTTTATTGTTTCACAATGAAGAATCCAACAAATTAAATGTTACAGTACAAGCGTATCGGTGACAGAAAAATGTAAATGTAAAATTTTTGGTACATACAACATTGTAAAATGAACATAGTATAGTAAACAATTTCTGTATCATCGTAATAAGAAGTATATTAATTCGAGAGTAAGAGGAAGCGTTGAAACTTAGTGAGGCTAATACATTAAACCGCCTAAATTTGGAGCTTAAACCTTACAATCAGTAGAGTATTATTTACATGCCACATATTTTGAAGTATAGACATACATTGTTAGTTGTAGAATGCTGGGACTAAATATATGATATGGCAAATAAGTATCCATGATGT